TATGCTGTGCAAGAGCATTCATTTTTTGGCTTACGCACTCCCTCCGAGTCCTGCATATCTCTACGCAAAAATGAGACATCAGGGTTGACATTTGTGTTTGTCAGTTTATGTCAATTGACACGGCGCTCGTCACAACCAACACGGGGTATCCGCGGGCATACTTTGTTTTTTAAGCTCATCAGTTCCAATTGTCGGTCCATCGTTTCTTACAAAGCATCAAATTTGATAGTCTGCTTGATTTCTACGGGCGCAACTCTGGGTGCTATGTTCATCTTTGTGCCGTGTGTGACAAAGGTCATTGCCAGAAGAGAGGGATTTTCCGAGGGAATGTGCTCGAGGGTAAATAAAACAAGCGGCTCGCACCTAAAAGAAGAAAATGGACTTACTTAGGCCGCTTAATCTACTATATTATAACGTCCTAACTCTGTGTTCGTTGTGTATCTGTATGGTGTGTGTGTGCCCGTGTGTGTGTGTATGTATGTGATGTCCGTCCGCAAAATGAAGTGAGTTAGAAAGGACGCTCATGGATAGAGCCAAAACGCGCTCACCAATCGGTAATTACATGGATTCGAGATATCAATGCTTTTAGGCAGGATACTTGTATAAAACACTCTCAGGGCTATATAAACACTGCGTGCTTAGCACCACTCCGTTATTCCAGTTTGTGCTGCAGTGGGCAGCTGGAGGGCAGTGGAAGAGAAGGGAGATAGACAGGGAAGCGATAAAACAATCTCCCGTCAAATCATGATTGTGTCCCTTCAGCTTTCTGAAAACAAACCATTTGCTTGCATACGCGTCCTTTCACGACTGTGGTGTCACAGGAAAGGGACCATACGAGGATAGAAAGCTTTGCGCAGAAAGGAAGTCCCGCGGTTGCGGGGACTAATCTGGTTCAGATGAGATGTGTACACTATTGCGTCTCTATGAGACCTGAAGCTCAAATTTGGCTTTCGTTTCCAGCACAGCTGTTTAGTCAAAAGTTATGAAGCAAACCACCGCGCAGCGGTGATCGACCGTCGCCCCTCACAGTCAAGAGGACCGTGTATTAACTCGCAGTGCTAGTCCGTACTTTTGCTGCTCATTCGAAGATATTCTGAAATTCTGCTACTAGCTATATTTTGAAAAGTCAAAGTTGCAGAACTCGCACTGAGCGTTCGCGCGCTCTTGCGGCGCAGACAGGCTCAACTAACGCCGTCAGTCAATACAGGGTGGGCTACTAAATAGTTGGCGCAATGGATTGTTGACTATATTTTAAGACGAGAAGCTTCGCATCTTCATAGAGTTCGTCCTTTATATAACTTCAAACATCGGCCCCAGTCATGCTAAAGAGAAGTGCTCGAAAATGGCCTTTCTCCGGCAGCGATACAGACTGCCAAATCTCTTCTCAATTGAAATCACTGTGGCCGCAAGGGCGACGTCAAGTCTTTCCACGTCTCCTCCAAGAAAGCTTCAGGGAGTCCAAACGTTCGACATTGCTCAGAATGCATCTTTGCTTTGAGACGGCCCACACTGGCACATTAATTGTTCAAATCGGGGCGAACTCAGCATAGGCCAATTACCTTTTGTGTCCGGTAGCAGTGCAAAATGGACGGTCACAGTCTCAGCATTGATTTGGGCGGCATCTGCAGGCGCTCTTTCTGCTGAAAGAATGCGCAATGACGTTCGCTGAGAGGTCAAAAGAGTCTTGGAAAGAAGGCATCACGTAAAATGGTGTTCGAGGAAGATTCTGGGCGCTGGCTTTGATGTATTCGATCCACAAAGACACAGCGGTGTCCATGGATTTCAGAAGTACAGTGTAGTTCCTGCCAAATCTTACAATTTGAAAACGGTTCCTTGCTGTGTACATCAAGTTCGAGCGATTGTCTGCCTAGCCAGATCAACAATGCCTTTACGTTTTGCAAATCGTGCGCCAGCATTTGTCGCCAAGATCTAACTCAACGTACGGCCGCTCGCTCCACCTTGCGCGCTCCATAGTGATGTCAGCTGTGAAAGAGACTCAAGCCTGTATACGCGTAACCAAGAAGCCATGTCGACCACTTTTCTTTGGTAATAATTTTCAATGTTTATCGCATACTGAAATAAACTTCTTAAGATATATATAGTTTTTCTCTTTGGAAATATGATCAATAAGTCATGCGACAATTATTTAATAGCAATATTTACTAGCCACACTGTAGATGGCATCTGATTGCACCTGTCCGGAATTTTTTTAATGCTTTTCTTCAGTGAGGAATCGGTGTTCTATATTCGTCATCGTATACTGCCTTCCCTGTGGCTTTTTTGTTACATTCCATTTCTAGCTTTGATAAACTCTTGGCAGATCGTCCAATTTTTGCGTTTTTCAAGTTGATCACAATAAGAAAGCGAACATTGAACTTCGGACAATTGCAAGTCGTCGCGTATATAACGAAGAGCAAGCGTGGATGCTTGATGATACCGATGGCTAACGAGTTTCTTAGCAATCTTGTAGCGGCTTTGTGAACCTGAATGGGCTCTGGACGCTTTTTTGCTCTCTGATTCACTATGAATGCGACATTGAACAGCACCCAGTTTCATACAAGGCGTTGCACGGACTGATAGCTCTTCTATAAAGTTAATTTCTCAAACTGATAGTACTTGGTATACTTCCTGAATAGCTCGCATAGATACTCTCAGGAAGGTGAACATGCAGTGTTTCTGTATAAGAAATCGTTGCAAAAAATTAGTCATTTTTTGCAAGGAATCCACGTCAAAGGGCGAATAGCTTTCAGCCTGTTCATTTCGCTGCTGCCCGTCGTGATTCTTGTACGTTTTCGCTGCTGGTCTGTCCCTATAAGAACCTTCGACAACGAAACGAGAAAAAGAACAAGTAGACCCACGATGTAAAACCGCTAATTAGGTTAGAGCTGATTCCCCTCCGGCTCGTTTTGGCTACTCTTTTCTTGCAAAAAAGCTCGGTCTTTCGTCAACGGCTGTCTTTTCAGAGCCTATCGTATAGAAGTTCCATTTACATACCAGTTTTGCTCCGCACCGCCTATCGCGCGCATCACAACGTAAGCTTAAGCGAAACTAATTGAATGTGGTTAGACCAATCCCAATTTTCGCTGAAAGTCCGCTCGAGAATACGCGTGAAACGTCTTGAGGCTGAACTGCATACTTCATCTCAAACCTGTAAACATCGCACCATTCTTCTTGAAATCCAGGATAATTTTAGCGGTGATCCGGATTGCGTCAATCTCAAATTAACCCATAACTATGCTATTTACAGACAAGTGAACAGCTTAAGCCTTATCATTCATTGTTACAAATACGTTATTTTTAGAACCCCAAAAGGATTAAGCGGTTTTAATGAGTTTGACTTATCTTGATAGAATGTAAGCTTATCATTTTGCTGAAGACGTGATTTAGTTTAGTGCAAATCGACTGCTATACGAAAAGGCTGGTCATAAGTTATGTAATTGTTTAACCGATAACATATGTCCTCGTCCCAATTCCACCATAACACTTTAAGGATGCTGCTCCGGTCCAACTGCGCTACTTAACAGAATTGACCAATTTGCGTCTGAGCCGTTATGCTAGCCTTTTTCAGTTGTTATCACTTCAATCACTCTCAGCAACAATGTGCCCGTGCCCAACCCGCTCATGACCTTGTAAAGAGGACGTTCCTTAGTGACCGCCGCAAGCTACGTAACGGTAATCTCACGATTTTTATGTTCTGACACCGCGCCTTAATCAGTCCTTCATCTCAGTTTAACCACTTCAATCACCAACTCAACAATAGATCCCCGTCCCATCCGCACATAACCTTGTAAGTATGATGCCACTGGCGTCAATGCGCCCAGCTAAGTACGAATCGGACGACTTCAGCGTTCTGACGCGTGCTATCAGCCTTTTTCTAGTTTTTATCACTTTCAATCACCCAGAACAATGTTCCCTGTCTCCATCCCACTAACACTTGTAGGTGTGATACTCTGAAGCCAACGCGAGCTGGGTAAACGAAATCGACTCGAACTTTTTGCCGTTCTAACGCATCTTATCAAGCCCTTATGCTATACGCTTAAAAATCATTCCAATGTATCCGCCCAATTATTCCCGGGACCACCCCGCATCATCAACACTTTGTGAAGTATAGCCCACTAATAGTAATTCAATATGAACGACCAAAAACGAACTATGGTTGATACTCGCTAATCTTAGATTATTATCGGAGCGGTCTCAGATCGTTATCAAGTTCCAATCAATACCAACTTGCTTTCGCCTATCCCACCCGCTTATAACGTGTGTAGGATACATGAACGCTAATCATTGCTGGGTGACGGCACCAGCTACGAATTTCTCGTGACAAAACACAACAGCTACTTTAGGGCGCAGAAATTATATATAGTAGGATATAAAGCACTTATAGCAGGGTCCAATTCCGAAGGAGCCTCAACTTTTGAAGCATTTCGCCTTAATAATATTCGGTGCCTGCTCATATAATGTCACATTTATCTGATCTAAAAATGCCGCAAGCCCTCTTGTGTTCTCATTTAGCTTAGCAAGCTGCAAAAATAAGTTGTGTAACTACAACAACACTACTTAGACTAAGATTCTGCGTAGCGTGTCTACACGCCGGCGCTTATCCTCTTCCTTGTAGCGACGCTTTGTCCTTTCGAAACCTACGTTGCTTTTGTTGACAGTTATGACTGGTGTGATAAGCAATGACTTCAAACAGTATTCATTTGTTTACTAGAGAACTCAAAGACATTTTTAAGCAACATAAAGCCCCCATATAACACATTGAACTGAGTATCGTTCAGTTTATATGGTACCTAATCAACATTCTTCGTCTAGCTGCGGGGGGAGGGGAGAAGAATAGCCGAGTACCAAAGGTTAAGGAAAAAAAAAGAATTGATGACCAATCAGCTTCATGGAATGCAACGAAGTAACACGGAATGGCTGTGATCATATTCGAACTTACGGAGCAGCGATCTCATTTCTGAAAAAAAACTAGCGCTAATTTTTTGCAACAGTTATCATAAATGCCCAGTCTTGATCCGACGGCTGAAGATACGTTGGACAGCGACGCACATACCTAAAGTGGTCGTAGCGGTCTCGACAAGTGAATTTTCGCTCTGGCCATCTCTGTGCATCGGCGATTACCGAACGTATGATAAGAACATATGTTGTGCAAGAGGCGTTAGCGCTCTGATTAAAATACACTTCCGACGCACAGGCAAGCACCTAACCTAAATGTGTGGGGGGGGGGGGGGGGGGGTGAGTAGCAGCGTTGGATGCATCCTGCAAATCTTACTCAGCAGGCAAGCTTGTTTGCAGAGGAGGTGTCTGATAGCAGGCAACAGGGCACGAATACTCCTACTATGAACAAAATGGCGTGGTCCCGCACGATTGCACAAGCTAGTGTCCATGTCGTATTGCTATCGCATAAACATGAACAATTTTTACGATATTCAATGCGGTAATGCGGACAGTCGTCCAGTTGGTCTACCCAACCAGAGCGGTTCCGTGGCTTGTCATCTGTGCGTCCCGTTGCTCGAGAAATCGCGTGAAACCAAGCAACTAGTGGCTTTCCTAAACTCGGAGAAGGCTTTCGATGGCAACTCCACATTGAAGCCAGTAT